GCAGTCCGGAGCCCCAGGCCTCCTGAGCGGCCGCAGCTCCGGGCGCCCTAGCTCGCGCGGCCAGGAAAGGAGGCGGTGCAGCTCCGCCCCGCGCCGCGCCGCGCCCATCAGCCCGCTGAAACACTCCTTCCCGAAACCCAACCCGGGAGCCTCTATCCTCCTGTAATTTCTCTCTGGGTTCGTATCGACGCCGATTTAACAGAACAATTCCACTCCAAACGTCCCTTCAACACGTGTTTTGCTTTCCAACTCCCAGATGGGTGAAGCACCTGGAAAGCTGAACGACCCTCTCGGATCGGTGTGCCCACCTTTCATTCTCTTTCCGTTTCTCCCGAAACCGCACAGCCGAGCCCCAGGAACTTAAGTGGACTGGGTCTCGCCTTCGGGATTGGCTCTCCTGGACGCCTTCACCAGGACCCAGCCCAGACAACATTTTGAATAGCGCGTTGGGAGAACTGAGGCGCAAACCCGAGCTCGCCTAGCTTCCCCGGAGCGGGACGAGCAAGGTTCAAAGTAAACTCCGAATTGGGTCGGTGAAGAAGCAGGGCAAGCCGCCCCCTTCCCCCTCCCCCCTCAGCACCAAAGCTCCCGAGGCACGCTCCGCACTCCACAGCTTTTCTCCCTTTCTCTTGCTGAGTCCCTCGTTTCAACGGCGTCGGCGCCTTTATGCGCCCGACTCAGTGCGCAGGAAAACCCGCCTGCTCGGTCATTGTCTAGTCCGCGACTGCCCCCGCCCCCCGCCTCAATCAGTGTCACAAAACGCCCCTTTCAACAGATCCCAAACCCTCTTCACCCCGGCGCACCGAGCCTTCAACTTCATTAAGTGCGCGCTGCGGCGGCGCTGGAGGAGGCGAAGTTTAAATAAACCAGAGCGCGGAGCTAGGAGGGGTGGGCCCAGGGCGGGCTGCTGCTTGAAGGGGTGGGAGAGAAAAAAAGTGTTTTTGAAAAGGGGAGAAAAAATCATGGGGTTGGGGGGAGCGCTTTGTAACCACGAAGACGCGTCCGCTGTGATGAGAACAAATTGGATATGGAGGGGAAGTGTCCACCCCCATCTCAACTCCGGCTCCTGGGTGGTCCGGAGGCGGGGGGGGGGGGAGACCCTGGAGAAAGAAAGAAGATGTGGAGGAATAGGCGGTGAAAAGAATTAACCGCTTTAATTGGGCTGCGCTAAGGGATCGTGAAGAGGCGCAACGAAGTGTTTCGAACACCCCAACCGGAGACTTCCACGAAATAAAATGTTTGCGCTTGGCTACGGTTGCAAAACGCGTGGCGGAGTTTGAGAACTGAGGCTGTTTTCCTTAGCCGTGGAAAGCAAACCCGCGAGCCGGGGGAAATTCTTCCCGGAAAGACCCCCCCTCCCCCTCCTCGTGGCCTCGGGCCTCCCGGCGCTGGATGAAAAGGAATGAAATTGAACGAAATTGAACGAAATGAAGTGAAATTGACCATTGAAATTCGCCAATTTTCTTCTCCTTTAAACTGCCCGCTCTGAGCAGCACTCTCGGAGCTCCAGGCCGATTCTTCACTCCCACCCCCCCTGATTTTTTCTCACCTCGAAGAGATGAAGGTGAGCCCTGGATATTTTCTGATTATCGTCCCCGCTTGTTGGGGCTTTCGAGACAGAACTTCTGCTGCTGTCTCCGCGGGAGCTGCTCAGGTGGGATGGCCAGCGTTTCCTCTCCAGAGGATAGGCTCCCAAATGAGCCCCCTTTAAACGGAGCCCCCAGCCCCTCCAGCCTAGAAGAGGGGGGTCCCGAGATCTTACTCCAAGTCCCTCCAGGTTCAGCCTTCCAGGTTCCCCAGAAAGACAACCTAATGGAGTTTCGATTTTCAGACCCCTCGCTTACCTGACACTGGGGCACTGGAGCCTCTGGGGCTCCCGCAATACTTCTCTCTCCCTGTTTTTTGTTTATTTTTCTTCCAAAGTCATTGGGCACTAGCAGCTTCTCTCAGATCCCCAGTTCCCAGCCACCATTGCGGCCCGGTTCTGGCCTTCGGATCCATTGTGGAACTAGAGTCTATCTAGGTCAGGGATCCCGGCTGCCAAGACCCTTTCAAGTCCCTCTAACGGGGGCTCACATTTCCTCTCCCGTTCTCCAGTCCTCCTATTTCTGTCTCCTGATAGGGGTCCTTCCCCCCACACAGCACGCAGTGTGTTGAGATCCTTGCCTGCACGCGTGCACACACACACACACATTTTCACAGACACCCAGAGAAGCCCACACCCTACACTACAACTGCGGAAGCATCTTACCTATCTGCCCACTATCACACGCGAATCCTGGCTGACTTCGTTTGCTTTCTTTTGCAGAGAAATAATCAGGCTTTGGCTTCAGTGATAAATCCCTTCCTTCCTCTAACCTCCTGTCTGCAAGTGACACTTTCACGGTTAACTGAGGTCACCAAGCTGCAAAATGCTTCACTCAGAGGGTTCTGGTGCACACACAGGCAGTCAACATGGTCACATCCACCTTTCTTCCAAGAAGCAACGAAATGTAACTCAGAGCTAGGGAAGTCAGTGGAGCAGCTGCCAGAGAGCATTCTTCCAGGGGAAACAGACCTTTCCCATCTCTGACCATTGACCTTAACCCTACTTGGACCACTGTGGACACCGATGGGTAGCGGACCCACTGCCTTCCACCTCCTCCACTCTTAGGCTTTTGGCAAAATGGAGGTGAAGGACACTCCTTTGCCGGAAGCTACCCGTCCTAGCACACTCCAGCCTCCACTGCACGAGAGATCTGGGAGCCTCAACAACCCTTCCCCAGCTCCAGTGCCTCCTCCCCTCTTTCTCTAGGGGCCTCTGTCCACCTCCTCCTTCCCTTCGTCAGCTGCTCGCTGCTGATGATGATGCTAGCGTTGTAACTGAAGATGCCAACAAGGCTTCCCTCTGCCCAACCTCCAAGCTCTGTGTGCCTGGTTCTCTGCCTTCTCCCCACTGTATCACCTCAACATAGGTCTGTTTCCTGTGGAGGCTGAACTGCCTCACCCAGCACCTCCATGCTGCTTCTCTCCCCCTGCCTTCCGAGAGGGGCACCCACAGACAGAAAAGCTGAGCAACCACCTTGGTTCCTCCAAAGCAGCAACCTCATCCGAACGAAGATCTAACCACTTGGGAGTGCCAGGCACTGGCGGAGAGCTGGGAGGCCCCACAGGCTGATGGAAGACTCCAACCAGCCCCGGTGAACCTGCCCTGGAGCAAGGGCTGCCCACTGTGAGCCTAGTGCCAAGGACTGGGCAGTTCACCCCACAGGAGTGTGACACCAGGCCCTTCCTTTGCCACAGTCCATGTGGAGTCCTCTCCAGCAGGAAGGAGGATTCCCAGGACCCCCAGTCAAGGACTTCTCTCCAACTGCTCTGTGTGCAGGGCAGGGGTTTCCTAAGGCCCATGTGCAGTCACAGAAGCCTCTTCCCACTCAGAGACAAGTGATGGAGAGGTACACAACCCTGCACACAGAAAGAAAACTACAGACAGACCAAAATACAGCTCACCGGGACAGGTGGGGGGAAATCAAAAAACAAGCCCATGAACTGACCCACACACGGAAATGAACCAAAAACTGAACGTTTGTAGACACACAACCAGCCCTCAAGTCTCATTTAGTGAACACAGGGACCGTGATAAGCATTAGGTACCCAGATCTGCTCCCCGAACCCACCACCCTAAAATCTAACCTAGACAAAGATGAGACTACTCAGGCGTGTTTGGAAGGCAGCTATGCTCACCACTACACCACCAACGCAACCAACTCAGGTGTGTTTGAAATAGAATCCTTGTGCACAGGCTCAGGCAAAACCCTTCCCCAGGACCAGAATGAAAATGAAAGTACTGCAGGGTCAGGGGCTTCCCAGTGACCTGGCCCCCATTAGCACCTGAAGGCCAAGGCCACAGGGCTCCCGAGGTGTCTGATAAGTCCGGGGCTCTCTCCATCTGCCTGGGCCACCGGGCTGACAGGACCGGCCTCTCTGTCCCCACAGGGGGACCAGGGAGGGAGAGCAGGCAAGCAGATAGCTGGTGACTGCGGAAGTTCACAGACATTTATTCAATTGACACCAACTAGGAGCTGGGGAAGGTGGGCACTGGGATCAGATTTTTCGTTTCTTCCACACAAACCATTCGACGACTTCACAGTCTGCTCCAGGTGGAGAAGTCTAACTCAACGCACAGCCAGTGGACAGAGAAGGCGGCAAGCAGCCCGCTGTACAGATATTTACACATAATTACAGACCCCTGCCTAACCTCTCCCACCCACCCTCACTGCCTTTAGCTACAATAAATATGGCAGAGGGCTGCTGGCCGTGGACGGCTGGACCCCGCCGGCCACCCGGGAACGGGGAACAGTTCATTTAGAAGCACCCAAACAAAAGAGACAGGGTTTTTTCCTCAGTGGGCTGTGGCCTGGGCTCTGGGTTTCTGCGGAGCCCCCCAGCTTCACCTCTGCGTTCGGCTTCGCTGGTGTAGACACTGCTTAGGCTTCAGGGGGTGCGAACTTCCTTGGAGACCGGCAAAAAAAAAAAAAATCAATTTTTCTTTGAAGCACAGAGCGGAACTAGACGTCCTTAATTTATAAAATTGGACAAGCAATTGTAAGTTGAGCGAGGAGCGAAGGGAAGGCAGACGGGAGAGCTTTCGGCGCAGTCGGTGTTTTCGCGGGGGACCGCGCGGCCTTGGGCAACCGACTCCTGCGTTCTTGCCCCTTGACAGCCTCGTGGCGCACAGCACGGAGGGAAAAGCAAAGACTTCCCCCGCTCGCCCTCACAGCCTTACGCTGCGGTGGGATCATGGGGGCCTCGCCCCTGAGCGGCGACACCCGCTTGGTCCCAACCTCGGGCGACATTCTGGACGACGTGGAACCTTAAGTGCTGGCTCCTTGCGCGCGTCGCCCCCCGGCCCGGGGACTCTCCATAAATAATAAGACTCCCTGAGTTCCGCTGGGACCGCAGGAGCGCCAGGGAGAGGGCTGAGGAGGTGCGGGCCTACCTGGCCCAGAGCCCGCTGGCGATCAGAAGTGGCAGCCACTGAGGCCAGCGACTTTGCCGGCAAACGGGGGCGCTGAGGACAGGAGCGCGTCCCCGGGGTGCGAGAGGCGGATGTGGCCGGCCACCGGAGCAAGGGCCGGGGCAGTCAGCATGGCCAAGACCTGGGCTTGACCCCCGGCCCCCGCGGCGGTCGCGAACGGAGGCACCGGGGAGCCCTCGCCTCCGGCTGGGGGTGCGGTCCCGCCGCCGCCGCTGTGGCCCATGATGTGGTCTATGGAGAAGGAAGGCCTCTGCCCGGCTCCTGCGCCCCCGCCGCCCGCACCTCCGCCCGCGTCCGTCTTGAGGCCCTGGCGCAGGAGCGCCGCGGTGCCGGCGGCGGGAGGGCTCAGGGACGCGGGGTAGAAGGCTTTGGCGCAGCCCAGCTCGGCGCCCAGGAAGGCGGGCAGGCCTGCGGGGCCCGGGCCGGACCCCGGGGCAGGCGCAGGAGCCGGAGCCGAGGCTGTGCCGGCGAACACGGAGGCAGTCGGAGGTCCGGGTGGAGGCGCGGCGGCGCGGCCCGGGGGGACCGACAGCTGGCACGGAGCGGCCGCGGCGAAAGCGAAGGCGTGCGGGTGTGGGTGCGGGTGCGCGTGCGGGGCTGGCCCCGGAGGCGGCGCGCCGTAGGCCGGGAGCGCCAGCCCGTAGCCGTAGCCGTAGGCGCCGTAAGCGGCGAAGCCCGGCAGGAAGGCGCCGGGGTCTCCCGCAGCAGCGGCCCCGCCGCGCAGCAGCAGCTCTGGGTGCGGGTGCGGGTGCGGCGGCGGCAGCGGCTGCCGCTTGAAGCGCTTGCGGCGCCGCAGGAAGCTGCCGTTGTCGAACATGTCGGCCGACTCCGGGTCCAGCGTCCAGTAGTTGCCCTTGCCCGGGTTGCCCGGCTCGCGGGGGATCTTGACGAAGCAGTCGTTGAGCGAGAGGTTGTGGCGGATGCTGTTCTGCCAGGCGGGGAACTTCTCCCGGTAGTAGGGGAAGCGGCCGCTGATGAACTCGCAGATCTCGCTCAGAGTCAGCCGCTTCTTGGGGCTCTGCAGGATGGCCATGGTGATGAGCGCGATGTACGAGTAGGGCGGCTTCACCAGCGGGCTCCGCGTCGCCGCGCCCCCCGACGGCGGTCCCGGCCCGGGCCCCGCCGCGCCCCTGGCCGCCGCCGCCGACGCCGCGCCGGGCCCTGGGCTTCCTGCGGCCGCCGCCGCCCCCCGGGGCGCTACGGCGCGGGGCTCGCCGTCCGAGCAGCCACCCGACTCCTCCTCATCCTCGGCGACGTCCGCCTCCGCTTCCTCCGGGGGAGGCTCGTGGCCGTGGGGGAGCGCGTCCCGGGGGGCGCGGGGCCCGGAGCGGGCTGGGAGCTCCCCCCCGCCGCCGCCGCCGCCGCCCACCACGTCTATGTCTGCGTCGGCCTCGGACAGCGCGGCCGGGGAGCTCTCGGAGGACATGATCTCGCAGCAGCAGCTGCCCAGGGTCATGGTGCCGCCGCCGCTCTCGGGCTGCGCTCCGGCCGCGGCTCGGGCTCGGCCGCGCCGCCTCTGGGTCCGGAGTGTTTTGCGCGCGGGCGGGGAGGGGGCGGGGGACCGAGGCGGGCAGGGAGGGGGGTGTCCCCGGCTGCGCGGCGCCCCCTGGCGGCGGCGGCGGCGGCGGCGGTGGCGCCCTCGCGGGAGCCGGGGACGCGGGCCTCGCCTCAGCCTGCGGGGTCCCGGCTGCGCGGACCCCGGGGCGCGAGCGTGCCCGTGTGTGTGTGTGTGTGTGCGCGCGTGCGGCGCCGTGGCCAGCGGCGGGGGCCCGTCCCCTCCCGCCTAGCCGCTGCCCAAGGCGGAAGAGCCGCGGGCCGGGGCGGAGCTCCTGGGGCGGGGCGGGGCGGGGCGGCCGCCGAGTGCCTGCGCGCCCGGGCCCGGCGGGAACACACGGCCGCCGCGGCGGGAGCTGGGCTCGGCCGGCTGGAGGCGGGTCCTCGCCTGGCCCCGCACCTCTGTCCTCGCTCCGTCGGCTGGCCTGCCCGCCCGCCGCAGCCGCCGCCTTCGGTGCCCTGGGTCGTGGGGGGGAGTGTTAAGGCTGACTCAGGAAGCCGCCCGAGCTCGGACAAGTGGAGGCAGTCCCTCTCCGCCTCACCGGCCACCATCGTGTCCCCAAGGCCGGGCGCCGACGCGAGAGCCTGAGTCGCCGGGACCGACCGACCGACGCCTCGCTGCGGGAGCGCAGCCCGCGAAGCTGCAGGCCGCAGCCGCACGGCGCGGGGCGCGAGGAGCCGACTGGACGGCTGCAGCCTCCGCAGAGGTGAGATCCTGAGCCCCTTGTCCCTCCTCCAGGCGGGGGTCGGCCGAGCAACCCCGCGCAGCGAGACTCCGGGACCAGCGCCCCCCGCTCCGGGCCGGTCCCCGAGCTAACGGACGCGGCGGCCCGGGGTCGCCTTCTGGGGCGCAGGCCAGTGGCCCCGCAGCCCTTGCCGGGCTCTGATACTCGCGGTGTCGGTCTCCCTGTGTGTCTCTCCGTGAATCTACGTCTCTTGTCGCAAGTACGCGTTCGGGTTATCCTCGTGAGTCTGGGACTCTGCCCCTCTCTCAGCCCGGGTCATACCCAGGGGCTCCCCGCCCCACAGGCCCCACCGGGCGGTCTCAGACAGATCCCCCCCTCCATCAGCCCGGACACTTCCCGCGATGAACCCTGCGCTCAGCTGCAAGCCGATGGTCCCTTTACTGCTCAAGGTCTCGTGCATCTAGAATTAGTCTTGTGCGCTCCGTCTTGCCAGCTGTGTTCCTGCCCACCCGATCCGACTCGTTCTTTTCTTAGTGCTTCTCCAGAGCTCAGAAACAAGGGGCTCCGAGTCACCCTGGGCCCGGCTCAGCCCCGAGCGTGGAAGGAGAGGTGGGAGTTGGAAATGGGCGAGAACTGGGCGAAAAGGCCGGGCTGCTGCCCCGACAGCGCCGCTCAGTGGCCAGAGCTGCAGCGTGGCCCGAGTCCCAGCCGCGCTGGCCGCCCCACTGGGTGATGCTCGCTGGGTAACTGCCCCTTCCCAGCCTCAGTTTCCTGGTCTGCACTGCGGTTAAAGGCAGAACTCTAGAGCCAGGCTCCTGGAGCTGCACTCCTGACCCCACTACTTACTGGCGGTCACCTTGGGCAAGTCACTGAACTCCTTGTACCTGTCTCTTCTTCCGCACACGGGAGATCCAGAACACGGAGCACCTGACACGTGCCTCAAGCAGCACGTGTTCTGACCTCTGGACCGACAGGGCATTGAGAGCACCCAGAGCAGGCTAGGGGCGACGGCATCCCCCACCAAGAGCTCCAGCCCTGATTCATTCCCTGCTTGCATTACTGATGCCAGCCTCCAGGCACTGTGCCAAACTGCATCCCCCAGAAGCAAAGTGCACAGCCCTCAGGACAGGAGGGCAGGTGGCTTCTGTCCTCCAGCATCGGTGTGGAGTAGGCCAGTGGGAGTCCAGCTCTCCTGTTGAGCAGATGGACCCACAGAGTCCCAGAGTGGAGGAAAGTGCCCTACCTCGCTTCCTACAGACAGAGCCAGGCCGCCGCACCCCTCAAGGTCCTCACAGGGTTCCTCCCACCCCTCAGGAGATCAACTGGACCTGGTCCACTGGATCTCCTTGGCGACCTCTGACCTCAAGGACGGAAACATCTTGGGCAGAATTTTCTTGCATGATTCCCAATAAATGCACATACCTGGGTTGTGAGTTGAATAGATTTAATTTATCTGGTCACCGCAAGCCTTTGCTGTACCACATGGGAACTCTAAAGCACTTTCAAGACCCCACTCACAGATACCCCACACCCAAGGCAGCGCTGCTCAGCTCTGCTGCTGTCAGGAAATGGAGGGAGTGTGAGCATGGCCCGGGCTACTCCACCCCTCCCTTCCGGAATGTCCTCCTTTCTCAGGCGCCAGATGGGAACCGGTAGCTTCCTTCCTTGGCGGCCATCTCCTGGTTGCCCGGCTCTGCCCTGCTTTAGGGTCACCTGGCCAGGAGCTTTCGCTCCTGGTCCTGCCTAATGCTGGCAGCTAAGTAACCACCTTTGCACAGCCACCTTTGCTGAGCCACAGCCTCAGTCCTTGGGACAGGGCCCTGTATGAAGGAATTCTGCCTCACCCTCCTTGCAAAGTGAGGCCTAGGAGAGATCATATTACTTCCCAGGCTTTTGGGGTGCTCCCCTGAGTTGGGGGACAGACGTGTCCTAGCCCCAAGCTCAGAATCTATATGCATGTGATTCTGCAGCCTTGAGGAAGCCCCACTGTCCCTTGCTCAAGAGGTATATCTGCTAACTTCTCAGTCCTTCTTCCCCAGGCTTGCTCGGAGCCCATGTATTTTAAACAGTGCCGGGGCAGGCACACAGGGGCTAGCCTGAAGGGCTGTCTGTTGCCTCTCTTTTCTTTGCTTCTTCAGCGGCCTCTGCCTTTGCCGCCAGCTTGCTCCTCCTTTCCAAATGTTTGGGCCGGTTAGGTAGCCCGCGTGTGTCTGTGGCTCCCAGGGCGGAAGCCTGGACTCCTGCACCCCGGCCTGGAAGCCGCCTCCAGGGAGCAGAGGCTAACAGGTTCCCCAGGTCCTGGCCCAGTCGTCCCTGGCAGTACCTGGCCACCTCCCTGGAGCAGTCCAGGGCAGTTGGAAGAAAACCTTTGGAGGGGAGGGCTGGCTGTCGGGGCTTTCTGCCTCCAACAGGTTCCTCGGTCTAGGGACAGGGAAAGCCTGCCATGGTGCGGCTACAATTAAGTTAGTCCGGAAACGATGGAAGAGTTTGCCCCGAGAGGCCGTGCTGATAGAGCTGACAGGCTGTGGAGAAGGCGGTCTCTGAGATCCTAGTGCGGCTTTTCCAGCTTGCCCCGCAGCAGTTCGCACCACACCTGCACACATCCCTGGTCTTAGTGAGAAAAAAAAAAAAATCTACAGACTGGCCAGTCTGCCGAGGTGGCGGGACTGGTGCTGCCTGCTCAGGCTGGGACCCAGCTCTGGAGTGTGCTGGTTGCAATAGCTGCATTCGCGATCCGCCGATCCTTTTCTGCAGTCAGAGCTTCACCGGCCCGCTTGGCCGGTCAGAGGAAGCCTGCAGCCCGTGCAGGGCGTCAGAGCTCCCGGTCACAGAGATAAGGGGCTCGGCGTGTGTGCCTGCGCCTCTGCCACCCCTACCATCCCACAGCTCAGCCTGGCAAAACTGGAGAGTAGGGATTTCCATCGTCCTCTCCTTTTATGACGCCAGACAACCTCCCTAGCCCAGCCGCGTCTAGGAGCATCGCCTGCGCAACCGGCGGCCGGAACGTGAAGGTTGGGATGGAGCGAGCTGTGGAGCCGCCTACTCTGTTTCGCGGGAAGAGGGCTGCGGGCTCAAGAAAGGGGGAACCTGCGCTCCATCCCCGGGCCGCGGGCGCCCTTTACTGATCGGCCCGTGGATCGGTGGAGTTCTCAGCCCGAGTTCTCGGCCCGCGCTGAGGCTTGCACCCTGCATTGGAGGGCCTGAGCAGGGCGAGACGCAGGAGAGGGGGAGCGAGCCTCGGGCTAAGCGCGCTCCAGTGGGTCTTTAATTCCCCAGTCCCAGGTCTTTCTCGCTCCAGTTATGAGTGGCCGCCTGTCCCTCGACCTCCCATCCTAGACGCCTGGTTCCAGGCCTACCAACTCGCTGGGGCGGTTGCGAGACCTTTGGCAGGTCAGGCGGACGAGCGCGCAGCGCGCGTGCCTGGACCGGGACCAGCACAGAGGGGAGAAGGAGAGCGCGTTCCGGGATCGAGTTGCGGGAGAGCCGATGGCTGGAGCAGTAGCCTTCTTCCCGCCACTTGCGCATGTTTGTCCCAACAACTCGGGCGCCGGACGCCTTACCAGAACTAGGGGCAGAGCAACAGCAGGGGCGCCAAGCCGCTCTGACCCGCGCGTCCTATGCCTAAGCCCCAGGCGCGCTCTGCCTTCAACCTACTCTGCCTGGATAACTGGCGAGGCCCCAGGTGCCGGTGTGGGCGGTCCCGGCGTCCTCTCGGCCTGTGGAGGAGCCGCCCAAAGCCTGGAGAAGCCTGGCAGCTGCCCGAGCCCTGCCGCGTGGAGGGATGGATTCCTGGGGAACAGCGACCTCTGGAGGAACCTCGCATCCCCGCAGGAACACAGGCCCCTGCCGCCTCCGGAAAGACACCTCTTGGCCTAACTTTCCCCCCAGCCCCGCTGGATACTCCTCAGAACCTTAGGCCTGAACCCTGGGCACCAGGGCCTGCCCACCGCCCTGCCTCACCGCCCTGCCTCAGCTTTGCTTCCCCGCAGACAGATCCTTGACGGACTCCACCCGCCCCTTGCCGCCCAGGCCAAATGTGCTGTCCACGCCCCTAGCCCTCAGAGAGACCGGAGTCATTTATCCCAAATGTAGCTACACCACGCTAATAGGGCACACGGGGAGAAGGGGACCCTTAGAAGGCTGAGCTGCCTAGAGTCACACAGCAGATTGGTGGGACTGGAACTCCCGTGTCGGGTTTCCCACACCAGCCCCTTCC